TGCTTGTATCATTTTTATTGTTTATTTTAGTGCATCTAGGATATCACTTAAATTATAATCTAGGCTAAAAACCTTAAAGTTATAATTTTTTTATATAAAAACATATGAATAAAAGATTTAAGATAAATCAAAATTTAGGATTAAAAGATTCAAGATTTTCAAAATATGTCTTTTATTTTCCTACATGACCTTCGAGCCAGTTTTAAAAAAAACTGCATTGTATGGACATCACCCAAGCCATATAATAGGGCCTTCATAATATCTAAGGACCGCTCTAGATAATTGCATCACTTAAATGTCCCGAGAAGAAACCCCCGTACTTCTCCAACCCAACTAACCCAACATACCTTTTTATATAGGAGGTTGTCTAGTACGCCTAGGACTTTAGAATTCTCCCCGACCAAGACGAGGTGTAAATCCTTCTGTTAGGAGTGTTTTTAGCTTTGTAGCTAAACCTCCACTTCTCTTCTTTTTTCGAGGCATCATTGCCATTTAGGCGGGTACATGTCTCACCTCTTGGAGTTCCACCTTATACTCATATGATATAGTTTTCTTTCTTTGACCTTAGGGTTATCGAGATACCCGTGAATGATACAATTAATGAATTGTTGATCGGGGATCTCTTGATCTGTTGGGTCGATTACCTTCATGACTGAGTAGGCATAGGGTCCTAGTAGTTCGGGATGACGGGTCCGTGGTAACTTGACCTAGCCACCTCTACCCTATAGAATTACTCAACCTTCCAGTTGTTAAGCCCGTTTGACCCTTGTCGCTCCTCTGACTTCATATATATCATTTTGATGGCCCAATGCCAATGAGCTGTTGCTCATTTGGGATACGATGATTTGTCCTCTGCCTTATGTCGTGGACGTGCTTTGAAGTATTGAGATATCCCCATCAAGATGATCATGGTTATTCCGTGGGCCCTATGTGCTCATGGGCCGCTACCCACATGAGATGCGAGAGACTCACTCTTTTCCCGATGACTTAGTGAGAGCTTTGAAGCATCAGGGCATTCCCACATGGAATAAACTTTCTTTGATGAGCTATTTTTTTCTAGGTCTACGATAATATAAGAGAAACCCTTTTTATTAAGAGTATTTTTAAGTATTCCCTAAGATGTAATTAAATAAGTGAGATACGTCCTCTTGGGAGACTCTATACCCCATAACAGACACTTACACCTGATTCTTTGATTGTGGGTAGTCTACCTAGGTATTCTTTTATGGATATCGGTCCAAAGTGCTTCCATCCAATCTTGTTTAGGCACTCATATTTAACATATCCTTGTGAGGTTTATCGCACATAAGCTCTCAACGTTCTTTCTCTTATTTATCGTTTTTTGTTGTATATTTATCTTTTCCAATTCTTCTCTTTTTCTGATCATTCATATGATCTAGTAGAGATATTTATTCGGAAAAAAAGAAGTATACAATGATATAAAAATCGACGACTCCATCTAAAAATAAAAAGAGAAAAGATCAAAAACATGGATTTTCTTTCATATTGATTTTTCCGTATTAGTTGGCTCAAATGCCTACTTTGCCTTGTTTCTATCTGAATAGCTCATTCATGTATCCTCTTGTTGTGTTTGGTCTGTCTTGTGGTCCAGTCAGCTTTGGGCTTACTAGCTTTGACTTAGATAGCTTCACTTGTTCTGAAAAAAGTGGGTCTCATGATCCTGTGTTGGTGGACTCTTCTTCATTGTACTATTTACTTCCGGTCCGCCATATCTCATCAGAATCTCCACTGACACACTATTGACGTACAACAATGTATACATTTATAGTGGCTTATTAAATTATGTTATAAATATATTTAAATATATATATATATATATATATATATATATATATAGTAGATTTATTTTCTAAAAAAACAAATTATTTTTGAAGTTTAAATTAGAGTATATAAAATTATATTTTAAAGTGATTAAAGCTTTGAGTTTTAAACCAAATATAAAATGCTCTATTATTATTATTTAAGATGGAAAAAATATTTGTTTTCAATAATTAAGAGCTAATTTTCGTGTATATTTATATAAATATTTTTTTCTCAGCATATTTTTTATTGATTTCATATTAAAACTTAAAAAGAAAACTAAAATCGTCAATATTAGACTTAATTTTAGATAAACAAATTAAGAATATTTTTAAATTTATTAATTTGTATCTCTGCTGAATTTATTTTTTAACTCCACTCTGGCTCATTGTATTTTTTTCTATCTTTACATACATAGATGCTATCAAGGGCATATACACTCAAAAAGCCAAAAAATCTCCATTTCTTTGCCTCTTTTTGCTATAATGACATTGTGACCACTTGCTATATTGTCTTATCAATAAATTATTCCTTTCTATCACTACATTAACTTGTCCACCACAAGAGTTCAGGTAACATTTCTCTTTGTTTCTCATCATCATTATTATTAGGGCTGTAAAAAAAGCTCATTATTCATGAACAATTTGTGTTTAACTTGTTAAATAACTCATGATCAATTTATTCGTTAAACAAATGAGCCGAACATTAACAAAAATTTTTAGCTCGTTATAAATGCGCCAAACACGAACACACTTTTCTTAGATAATATTCAACTTGTTTCGACTCAAGTTGTTTAAATAATAAGTAAACAATATGCAAAATTGAAATAATAATATAGCGAAATTCACTTTGTATAAATATAAAAAAAATAATAAAATTTAGTTGTTAGATTTGTAAATACATTGGAATTAAGTAGTATGCATGTAAGTTTTCTTTGAATTTTTCCAAATCCTTTTGGTGTGTTAATAATAAATACATAACAATTTTGTTATGTATGTACATGGCCCTACCCTTCATCCAAGTGCATTTAGCTTTTAGGTGGTAGATATGTAAATACCATAAGAATCAGCTGGTCTGTATGTAAATGTCCCGAGTTTGCTTTTCCAGGTTAAAAACATTGTCCCACATCGGAAACTTTGAAATTAGAAGTTTAGAAGGACTCCTAAAATGCAAAACCTAACCCCATCAACACGTCAAATCACAAAGGCTTGCCCAATTTAGAAGGGTGTAACATTATTGGTTATGCTACATAAATGTGATAGTAAAAATTAATTCTTTTTTTTAAAATTCATTAATAATAAGTTAATTTATTATACTATTTTAATTTGATTATGATTTGTAATCACTAATACATATTTAATATGAGCTCAAATTTTAGTCAAATGCAAATTAATTCAAATAAATAAAATTTGATTCAATTCAAATAAAAATAATATATTCATGATTGAAATAATATATTCATGATTGGAACATGAAGTTTTTGGCTCGCTCATATTTGGCTCAGTTACACCCTAGTTATTTTTTATATTTAAATCATGTCTAGTTTCTTAAAAAAAATTGACATAAAAGCACGAATAACATAACTCCTTGAATTACATTAATATGATAGTAAATCATAGTAAGTAACATTTTATATAAAAAAAAATATTACGGCAATTTTACACATAGCTCTTCAATATATTGCTATTTACAAAATTTGCACGATCCTTGGGAAGGAAAACATAAACAAATTCATTGGATCTTTCAAACAGCTTCACAAGATTTTCTACTGCAAATTATGGTTAAAATTTCGGGCTCAAAATATCATTTGGGCTGAATATAGGAAAGTGAAATATTGTAAACATACTCATCCTATTCTTATTCAGAGTGAATTAAGTGATTCAAGAACTTGGTGTGAACTTTTGAAAGTAAGAGATGAAGCTGAAGATCTTTTTATTTGGGACATTGGGGAAGGTAAATATTGTTTTTTAGCTTGATAATTGGCTTCTTGATGGCAAAATTGTTGAACACTATGACAACATTGCTCCATTACCTGCCAATAATGTTGGCTCAACAATCATTGGAATGTTGAATTACTTAGTAATATGGTTAGTAAAGAGCTATAGGTTAAGGTTTACTCAAATTCTTATTCAGTCTCAACAAGCGGATAAGATTATTACTAAGAATCTTCATCATCTCTCTTTTACTAAATATGTTTATTATCGTACTAATTAATGGCCTCTTGTGGAATGGGGAAAATCTATTTGGAGTAAATATCTCAATCCTTCAATGTATTTCTTTGCATGGAAATGCTTTCATAATATCCTTCCTATAGATGATATACTTAAAGTAAAGCGTTTGAGAGAGGACCTTCTAGATGTAGTTTTTGTCATGGTGTTGAGGAATCTCTATCACATCTTTACTTGCAATATTGCACAAACTGTTTGGAAAGTGATTATTTCCCTGTTACAACTTCAGTTGCCTGTTGATTGGTTATCTTTTTTTTATTGTTGGAAAGCATGGGAAGAGGTGAACTCTGAAATTATTCCATGTATCATCACTTGGTTTTTATGGATGGCTAGAATAAAAATCAGATTTGAGGAATTTGCTCTTACATTAATACCCCCTAAATCTTTTACACTATTTCAATTTTTTTTTTAAAAAAAGTACATTTTTCCATGCATAAATAAGATGATATATACGTAAAATTGAAGATTATGCATTTGATATGTAATTACATAGGAATTGAGCTGCTAGGGCTGAATGGCCTCTTATTTTTATAGGGAGGCGAACTTTTTTCACTTCTTCATTATGATTCGCAAGGAAATGAACAGTTATAAGAAATTTTCTTGATTAATTGATTCAAATGATTCATTAAGGTCACGAAATGATATTCCTTATCGTATCATTCAATTCCTATGTATTTACATTTATACCACTAAAATCTCTTTTATCCCATGAAAAATATAGCTATTTTAATTTCTAAAACGTGAAATACACCGTTCCAAGCATATATAAATTCACTAGAGAAGAACATAGATATGCAAATTGATTAGCTAAAAAGGATGCTTCTTCTTATGCAACATTGTTTTGTTCTTCAAATATTGCCTTATTCTTCTTATTAATATAGTTTTGTTCTTCAAATATATATATATATATATTATATGTTGAAAAAGCCGTCTTTTAGAAGACAAGTCTGCTAACGCAGTTCTTAAAATATTTGCTAAAACACGAAGAAGAAAAAAGGTACTTATTAAACAGCTTCTATGTTGACCTCTCCTCTCCTCTCCTCTCCTCTCCTCCTCTGGCTTGTAGGCGAAGACAGGAAGAAAAAACAGGGAGCAGCAAAAGCTTTAAAGCCAGAAAAAAATAAGGCGAGAGGAAAAAGAAGCCATGGGAAGAGCAGAGGATCGGATCAGTTACTTGCCTGATCCTGTACTTCAGAGCATCCTCACCATGTTGCCTCTGAAATCAGCAATCAGAACCGATGTTCTTTCTAAAAAATGGCGAAATCTATGGAAATACTCTCTCTCCACAGCCACTGCTCTGGAGTTTGGTGAGGAATTCGCTAACAATCAATCTGCAAAAGACTTTGTGGAAACTGTCAATCGATATCTATCACAGAATGACAGTAAGAAGCTGGAGAGGTTCCGTATTTTCTTCTCCCCGTTTGAATTGTTTGCCTCTGAAATAGCGAGGTGGATAAGCTTTGCAGCAGGTAAAGGAGTCAGGTATCTTGATATAGACTTATCCCAAGGATTTAGAAACCTAGTAGATGGTGAATTCACTGATGGCAGAAGCCTCTTCGAGCTACCTTCTTCTCTGTTTGATTGCGATTCGTTGATCGACTTGCGCATAAGTCGCTGTTTTTTCTTCACTCCTTTGAATCTGACCAATTTTGGTGGCCTGCAATCTCTATCAATCAGTCATTCCAACATCAACGAAGAGATGCTTCAAGGTATTCTGACTGAATGCTCTCTTCTGGAGAGCTTGAGCCTAAGGAACTGTCAGCAACTTGGTGTTATTAGCATTACGGTTCCTGTTAAAATTTTAGAATAATGCGGAATACTTAATTATTTCATTGATATGAACTAGGGTATAAATAACCCTTACAAGAACTCTATAATAGGAAAAATAATAAAAAGGAAATTATATGAAAGGAAAGATATATCATATAATATCTCCAATAATTAATTCATATTAATTATTAGGAGATATATGAAATAACATAAAATAGAAAACCAAATAATCCTTAATCTAAGGAAATAAATATAAAATAGGAAAGGAAATATCTCCTTATATTAAGGAAATAATTTATTCCTCATAACTTCTTATAGGAATAAATTATTTCCTACTATAATTCTTAACACTCCCCCTCAAGTTTGGAATGTATGTTAATAATTCCAAACTTGCTAAGTAGTGAAGAAAAATTGGTCGTTTGGATTGTCGAATTTGCTAGATTCAGACATGACTGAATTTTGAGTTTGTTTGTCATATGCTTCGGTGCATTTGGAAGGGCATGCATGGAAACTAACCTCTCCAACCTCTTTTCATTGGAAGACGCTGCAATCTCTTCAATTGGGGCATATTCCGAGCCTGATTACATTTATTTACTACCTGGTCTTTCTCATGTTCAGACACTAACCTTATGCACAAAAGCTCTGGTGGTATTAACTCTTGGCAGAAACTTTTGGTTCTGTTAATTATGAACTTTTAGTTCTAAAATCTAAACTTAAACTTTGGTATTGTGTCAGCATCTGCATTTAAGTGAGCAATATCAAATCGAGCTGCAGAACCTCCATGAATTACAGCTTGTCTTGACCTCAATGACTGACGAGGATCTCACCTGCTTCTACACTTTTTTTTATAGCTGTTCTTCCCCATTCCTTGACAAGCTTTTCATCCTAGTAAGATCTTTTCCTGATTAGTTAAATTTTGTTTTCCTGATCTGTTGAATTCTGTTAGCTCTAATGACTGATCAAGTTCTTCTGCAAGCAGCTACCAACACACATTGATGATCCAAATGAGGAAAAGTACTGGGTGCGCGTGCTGAATCCGCTGAGTCCTGATGATATCTCCTTCGATCATCTGAAAATGATCAAAGTGACAAATTTCAAAGGAAGCAGAAATGAAATGAGATTGGTGAGCTTTCTTCTACAGAAAGCAGCAATTTTGGAAACTCTAGTGTTAGTTCTTCCCGCTGTTCAGGAGGGGAATGGTAAAGAGACGCTGGTTTTGAGGATTTTGAGAGGACAAGTTCTGCTACTTGAAAAAGCATCTCCATGCGCTCAGATTATTCTCCATGAATTTGGGGAAGATGATGGCTTGAATCCAACGCATGTGGAGATTTATAATGATTATAGCTGCTTGCCGGATATACCTTGCATGGTTACTGGATAGATGTTCAGCAAGAAGTGTGATTTTTAATCGAAATGTTACAAATTGGACTTTTTTTCTTTTTAATGTGGAATTAATACTGTGCTTGTTTGTAAACCCTAGCCTATAAGGAATATGGCTCACATGTCGCCCCTAATGGATTCAAAGCTTAGTCTCACCGAAGTTATTTGCTCGAGCCTCTTTATGCCTTATTTTCCCTCTAATATTCCTCTAGAAACTATTTGAACGTGCTGACAAAGTAATGTCACATGCGAATAAAATAAATATGGATATATATAAATTTAGTAGTATGAAAAAATAAATTCATAGGGAGTCCTGACGCAGCTTTGCATCTAGACTCCAATAAAATATTGTCACGTGTATTTGACTAGTCCCACTTAAAAATAATAAAAATTTCTTTATTTTTCGGTCGACCGGACCCGAACCTGCCTGATGCTTTGAAAAATTAAAAGCACGCGCTGACTCGACTGTCAGAAGCACTACTTCGAAAAGGAAAAAGATATGTGTTTCTCTTCTTTCTCTAATTTCATTGTTCACCATCTGATAGAGTTTCTACTGCTGCATTCTGTTAGCTAGGGTTTGCATTGTGTCTAATTTGAGTCCCTCTTTACTGCCATGTAAGTCTTTTGATCTTGAGGTTTAGTGTGGTAAACACTTTGCGTGAAGGGTTAGGGTTTATGGTGCAAATTGAAGTAGTCCATTTTCGTTTTAAAGCAAGCTAACAATGGAAGAGAAATAGGAAATCGAAGAGGCTAAGAAGGAGTTGGAAGATCCTAAAATGGAAATCGAAATATCGAAGAAGATGGTAATGAAAGAGTGCAAAAAGAAGTTAAAGAGTCTAAGAAGGACACTAAAGTGCTAAGAGCCAGCAAAAGTTATCCTGGTAATTTTGTTTGTAGTTGTTCTTGTATTCAATAACACTATGGTTTCAGCTAAATAATACCACACTAACAACACAATAACATCATTATAATACCAAAAATCATACTAAGATAACTCCAAAATAACACCAAAATTAAACATAAATCAAACAACAATAATATCATAGTATCAATTAAATAACACCACACAATCCACCACAAAATAACACTCAGACATTATCAAAATAACACCAAAATAACACCGAAATAATAACAAAACAACACCAATATCAAACAACAATAACACCACACTATTCTTGCGTAATTTTGTTGGAATTTTATTAATGTTATTCTAATGATAATTTGTTGATGTATTTGTCGGCCTTATTGTTGGTTGTGGAGTTGCCCGTTGGAAGCTGTCGGTCACCGGAATCGAAATCCCGTCGCCAGCTTCGAAGGGACATTTTAATTTATGCGTGTATATATTAAATGAAAGAGCACTATACCTCAAACCTTGCATCTATCCCGAAATAGAAACACAAGACTTGAGAATGAGGCTCGATCAAATAAACTAAGAAACATATGACATCCGTTTGGTCTGCGAAACCATTTTATTTGTCGATAAATTTCCCTATTTAATACCGAAGAATTAAATAAGATTTATATTAAGTTGGGTTTGGAAAAACTTCCTATAAGGGCAAGCCCCTATAATTAATTACATCTTAAATGACCGAAGTCACTCAAGAAAACTTTCGATAAAAATCAGGGAATATTATCTTTAAAGATGTCAAAAGGATAGGAATTTTCAACGAAATCAGACAAATAGTTGTGAAATGGGATTGACTCAAATTTGTATTTGGAACACTTATTATAGAATAGAAAGGAGGAAGAACTAGGGGATGTCACAGATCCGGAGAAGAACATCGGTGACTTCCCAGTCTATTCTATGGTTTGGCTTCAGTTTAAAGAATAAATTATTTAAGTGTTTCATCTTGCAAATTTTATTTGTTTAGGGCTTACATTTGTGTGAAACGATCACACAAATGGCCTGGAAGATGTGAGGATTTAAGTTGTGATGAACGATAACCTTTGAATCCTAAAACGAGTTAGGGCTTATATTGTACAGCAGGGCTACACAAAAGCCTAAATATAAGGTGAGGATTTATGTGGCATAAGCAAACAACCTCAAAATCTTATGGCTTTGTTGTTTAATTCTAAGAAGAGATGTGTTGTTGTAGGTCCTCTTGCTGTTAGTCCTCTTGCTGTTAAAGATGGTCTGGTCGCGCTGCCCACAATGCTAGCTCCAAACCCTCGCCATTACGAGTTTAAGTTTTCTAGTATATCCTAGAAGTTTTGGTTAACCTAGCAGTTTTGGTTTTCATGTAGGGTGTCATCGTTGTTTAACATGCAAGTTTTATAAAAAATACAGTGTGGAAAGTATAAGAAAAGACGATACTATAAATTGTAAAAGCTTACCTGGCGAGTCTTCATGTTTAACCACTTAAAATGTCAGTACTTGCAAAGCGTGTATATAATATTGCAAGAAGATTTAAGTTGTAAGAGTAGATGAAGGTTTAGCTATCAAACCACAAGCTATTATTTTGTTGAATCTCGGAAGATCCTAGTGGATGATTCTAGGACAAAGTATGGCAAGCAAGATGTCCAATATATTTGAAAATGTCCAAGATGTGACCCTAAATCATTTTGAAGGTCTCTTGAAACATTCTGAGTTCATTTTTGAACTTATCATAATGTTCTAATGATCATCAAAGGTTAAAGTTTGACTACCTCATTGCTCAGTGAAACTTTTTAATTTAATTATCATAGGGATATGATACTTGATTGGTCAGTTGATGTTTTGTTTATAAGTTATGTGCGTGAGTGCCCCTGAGACAAGTCTTTAAAATTGTGGTGCCCACAATTAAGGTTAGGCTTGTAGTGCTTAAAGATGTTAATCACCAATAATATCATTTTCTAAATCCAATCAACTTGAGTTTAGGAATCAAACCTAGGTTACTACCAAGCCTTGGTAATCATGATAGGTGAAATGATATGTATAAAAAATTTTAGTTTAAGTGATGTGTGTTCTTATCAAGTAATCAAATCATCCTCAACTTTGGGCTTAAGAAAAGTAAATTATTATCCTTTCTAGTCTAAGCCCCTTACTTAAGAATCATTTGATCTTAATTGACTGCCAAATCATGAAAATTATGAGAATTATGATTTTGTTGATGTTGTGCAAGGGCGGTGAGTGAGTTTCTATCTTTTAGTCCCATTGTATTTCAATCATCAATTCATGTTTATTAAGATCAAAATGTTAATCTCAGAATTACCCATTTTTCCTTTGGTTAGTCCTAAATTTTGATTAAAGCACCAAAGTCTAAAGTGACTGTTTTGCCCTTGGGGCACCTCACCTCATAACTCATTAACACAACTCAAATGACTTTGAGGACTTGAAGTGTCATATTCATGAGATAACTAAAATATTAAAGAAGAAAATGAGGATTTCTCAAGATTTTAATTTAATTTGGTTATCTATTTGAATTAAGAAAGTAAGATTTGCAAAAAGTAACTTATTAAACTTCTCAAAATAAAGTTTTTATTTGTGAGAAAATTATTAAAGGTTTCTTTAGGTCAGAGAAATGCTTGGATAAAATTTTATGATTTCCTTGAATTAAATTTTTATTATTATTATTTTGATCTGGCTCAATTTTCATGATTTATTCAAATAGAAAATGGTGTTTTAATTTCAAAAAAATTTTTTATATTTTTCTTAGACTCCTCTGAGTTAAGAAAACTCAAAGAATCAAATTTTGTATTTTTTTTTTATTTTTAATTTATTTATTATAATTATTTTAGTGAGAAAATAAATAAAATTCATTTTTAAGATCTTTTTTAATATATTTTGAACTTAGGAAAATTAGAAAAAAAAATTAGTGAGTCCTAAGTGATCAGAGAACAGTTAGGAACATTTAGAAATATTTTTGTATTTTTGAAATTTTTATTTATTTTTAATTATTTAATATTCAAAATGAGGCCCAAAAATTAAGTGTTTTATTAAAAGTGATTTTTATTTTTCCTAAGTACCTTTGATTATAAGGAACTCAGAAAACTATGACTTTTTATAATGTTTCCAAGTGTATTTAGTTTATTATAATTATTTTGTACAAAAATACAAGGTTTCTTAGAAAATCCATTTTAGTGTTTACACTAAGCCAAATAATTTTAAAATTTTTACAGTGGGTAGATGTGATTTTTATGAACAATGTAGAGTTAATTTTGTTAATGTTTTATATGTATTTAATTTACATAAATTTATATAAAGTATTCACATTTAACTAAGTATAGAAATTTACGAAATGATTCAAAGCATCACAATATTTTTACTAGACTCCTCTGACCACAAGAAACCTACTAAAATTGTTCTCATAATTTTTCTAAAGGTATTTTGATTTATATAATTAAAATAAGACAAAATTGTCACCTTGGCTTGAAAATTAAGGTTAGGAGCATAGAGATGCCCTCTGATCTTAAAAAAATTAGTGAACATCTCCTCTATGATGAAGAGTGAACCCCAAAAATCTCAAGTTATGGTGAACACTCCTTAATCATGGAGAGTTAAAATACCTCAGAGAGTATTTAATTAATATAAAATCATATGTTTGGAAATAATTTATAGAAAATAATTTTTATTTTTAATCCAAAAGTGGTTTTTTTTAATTTTTATGATTTTTCTAGAAAAAGATATGAATTTTTGATGTTTAGGCAATTAAAATAATTTAAAAATTCCATATTATTTTACTTATCCACTCGGCGCCATTTCAACCTATGGCGGCTCCGAACTCACACGCGGCGCGGTTCCATTCGTTGTGCTTTCTACCATGGCATGACACGCGACCTGCCTTTTCAGACTGAGAGTTTATCCGGCTTGATCCCCTCAGTTGATGAAATAAACGCGCGATCGGACGGCTCTCCGTTGTCGTCCCTTGTTGACCTCACTTTTGGTTGAAGTCTAGTTTTTCCTCTTTAGTAGTCTAGGGTCTAGCCACAGGACTTTCCTGTTGACTGCTTCTATAAAACTAGACAAGGAACCCTCACCATTAGAAATTCTAAACTCCTCTTTACTCAACTTGGAATTCCACATATGGGTCCTGACCTCTAGCATTTAGTAGGTGGGGTCATTATGAGGGAGCTCAAGGAGAGTTCCTATAGGACTGTTGGACCTTAGGGTTGACCCTGGGTGTTAGTCTGGAGCTAAGACACTCACTTCACTCACTTTCACCCACAATCATTCACAAATTCAAACCCAAAATTTCTTGGCCTTGATCCCTT